CACCAACAGAAGTGCTTCATTGTTGACAGCTCCTATTTTCAACGGTGCCCATGGGACTATCCTGAAAGACTTACACAAACACAGATGGGCTCTTGTGCCATCCAGACTTAAAAGCACTTTTTAAACATGTTAACTGGCTTTGTTATCACTATTGGCAGGAGGTTGGGAATCTGTGGGTAGAAGGCTATGCAGCCCGTAGTGTGACCCTGGCACAGTTTCAGACTGCACACAAATACACAACCAGAGATAAAGCCTGTCTGTTTCTCTTGACTCATCTGAATTCTGTTAATTGCCATTCACTTGGGTCAGATGCTAGTCAAGAGTACCTCACCAATATACTTTTCAATAAATTCAGGAAAAGTTAGGACATGAAAAGGAAATAATTTGAATTTAGGGATGCCCCAATATAATTGCATTATGAGATTACAGTCCAAATTGAGGAACTTTTCATTGATTGGTATGAGTAACTGCCATGCTCTGCACCCATTCTTTGTTGTTGATCTACCGTCTATGGTAGTATGGCAGTCACGTTGCAGTAGGGATGCCGTACAGCAATCATAATATGGCAATCATTGTTATGTAATGTGCCAACATGTCAGTACGTAAGCCTTTGTAAATCAAAAATGAGAATTTAATATTTGTAGTAATTTACAAAATTTTGTAAAATTTACAAAATACAAAATTTTGTATTTGGCTTGTATGTATAAGACAAAGTACAGCAGCGAGCAGTGGAATGCCAAACAGCAAAATGCTGCTAGATCATAAGCTAATCGTAACGGTATTAAGAAGCTTAAAAATAATTATATTTTTGACATCTTTCACTTGTGTGTGTGTGCGTCAACTAGAAGACTTTTAAAAAGGTGAGTGCCAGAAATTCAGTTTGTTGCTTCATTAGTATTTAATATTTCAAAAGGCAAAAAGAATTGCAGGTGACTGAATTTATCACTTTGGATGACAACCCCATAACTGTGGTGAAGAAAATGAGGCTTGGTTGTAGTTTGGAGCTGTTGGAGCAAGTCCTACCCTCCAAACACAACGGACACAGAACTTTCAAGATGTATAAAAGAAGTTACCTTCACCTGATATTTCTGTTGATAATAAAAAAAATACTTCAAGAACAAAATGAGAACATGTTTTCTTTACTGCGATATAGCACTACTGAAGACGCATCAATTACAAGATGGCATTGTTTTAATTATGTTAATGTACTAGTGGTATGTAATCTGCAAATCTGTGATGTAAAAACATGCAAACTAATGTATGTGTCAGATTGAAACTTCGTATCAACCAATCTTTTTTTGTTGTTGTAATAACTCAGTTCGGACTCGCAGACAAAATAAAATGTTGATCGTAACATCCCTACATAATGACGGGGATTAAACTGTGCTTTCAGCAAATAAAGAGAACCAGAGCACAGTTTTACCCAACCAGAGCAGAGCAGGGTGGGTTGTGATGTCTAATACACAATGGTAAATGGACTGTACTTGTATAGCGCCTTTCTCTCAAAATACTCAAAGCTCTTTACAATACAAGCTGTGCCCCCACTGACCCATTCATACAGCACTCTACTAGATCTCTACAAAGATTAATCAGTGGTTTATCACATTCATACACTGATGGGACACACATCGAAGGCAATGAAGGGTTCAGTGTCTTGCCCAGGGAAACTTCGACATGTGACTGCTGGTGGAATCGAACCCCCAACTCTCGCATTGGAGGACGACTGCTTTAACTATTTAACCACACAGCCACAGCCACCCCAATGAGTCCAGAGCAGAGACAGACTGCCGGTGAGTGCACCAATCAGTGTTTCCTGGACTATTTTCCAAGGAGGACACCTTGCTACCCTAACTGAAGATGATAATAGAATAAATTATTAAACGTCTACGTGTTAAACGTATGTGTTTGCAGTCACACGTGACCAATTCACTGCAGACGAGGGAGATAACGGAACTGGTATAATGTTAGCCCCACACCTTCCGCACTGCACCCCGACCTCCCTGGGACTTTTGTATCTAAACTGTAACTTTGCATTAAATGGTAATGTGTTCTGAGTATCATCGTCATCATACAAACATATGCAACATGTGCGCGACCAAACTTCTGGTCCTCGACAAAGTGCTCCACCGCGGGAGCGTGCACAGCCGGTTTGTTTCTCACAATGCATCAGACTGTGTCTGCTGCTTTAGTTCTTATAATTAAACAATACTAACACTAAAAGACAAATATTTATATTAGGAATGAACAACATTATCGGCATGGTATCGGCCGATATTAGTGTTAAAGTTCAATATCGGACATCGGCCATTCCATCCAAATAACTCACAGATATAAAAGGCTTCTGTTTTTGTATGACAACCCAGTGACAAGGATGCCTGCAGCACCAGCACAACGTGATGACGTCACACGCGCCTACCTGATCTCACGGCAGAGAGGAAAATTCAAAATGTTGGTGGTGTGGAAGTTTTTTTTCATTGAGGACGTCGGATTCCGAAGATTTTTGGACCATGTTGAGCCTCGCTACATCGTCCCCAATCGGAGATATTTTTCCGACGTAACCTTACCCGAGTTACAAGCCGTCATTTCCGACGTCACTGAGAAGCTAATAGCTGATAGCACTTGGGTGAGTTTTACCACAGACATTTGGACGTCGTGTTAGCCCCGTTAGCATGATTAGTCTTACGGCACAATGGATAGACAAAAACTTTGAACTTAAAAAGACTGTCCTTCATGCACAGGAGTGCAGAGGATCCCACACTGCAGCTAGGAACCTGGAACAAGCCTCCACAAGTGAGACAGCGTCACAGGTGACTAATGCTAATAAATAACATTTAACACTTTTCATTTAATATAAGTTAAAGTGCTATGCATATCATATGGCTGTTAGTGAATATATGTCACCAGCTCTTACAGCTGTTACACAATTTTTATAGCAAATAAGAGGGATATGTTCTGACAAAGGAAATATAAATAAAAATAAATATAAAGGAATATAAAATATCGGTATCAGTTATCAGACAAATAAGTTTCAACATATCGGCCAAAAATCTAATATTGTTCATCCCTAATTTATATGACCCAGATTATAGCAGATGTGGGTCTCTGTTAAACTTTTAATTTTCCTCCCAAATTCACAAAGATTTCCCTACGAAAGTCAATTTCAGGTGTTTGCAGTTTATCATAAATATCTGCTAAATTTGAATATATATATAGTAAACTTTGTTTATAGTGCAATATACTTGTTAAATTATATTTTTCTTGTGCCTTCTTTACTGTAGAGGTTGCAGTCAGCCAAACATTTTGTCGGACAACCAGATTTTGTCAAGGGGTGTTCACTGGACAACTTGAAAAGTTTTCCTTATGTTTACCCCTGAATATCATACAATGCAATTAGATTTATTTAAACTACTTCAGCCTGTAATAAGTGGAAATGCTAAGGAAAACAAAGATGGGTGGATGCAGGAAAGACGGCCTTTACCAACAAGCATTACTCAGACCAAAAAATGTATCTAATCTTTTGCTGATGAGGTCAAAGGTCGAATAACTATAGCAGTCATCATGTCATATCTGTGTGTAACTGAGAGCTGTAAAAACAAAGAGATGAGCAGTGTCCAGTGTTCCCATGACAATGTGACAACTGTTACCATAAACACCAAGTGTAAAGAAAGCAAGATCATTCAAATTTCTAAAAACTGAGACTGTCAGCTTGTTTTAAAAAAGGTAAACGGGTTGCATGAAGGTGAATCTGTACATAAAAAAAAAAACCACTGACGGCACATTTAGGAAAATAGTCAGCTTCAAAATGTAACAATGCTCCAACTGATACGACACTCCCATGTGAGGAGAACATGCACCAGTTGCTATCAGCTGTTTACAGAGCCACAACTCGAAGCAATGTGCCTATGGCAACCTGCATGCCTTCCACTGTGTCTCATGACTGCGTTTAATGCATCAAAGTGCGAAGACCACCATCAATAATAGATGTGGACACGCCACACACCAGTACATAAATATGGAGACAGACACTGTGCCTCCACAGAGAAAAATACATGTTACAGACCATTTTGGCTGTACAAACCTAAGATGGAAAGGTTGAGATGGAAAAGTTGGCCAGGAGGAGTGTAGCCCTGCCAGGCCTCAGGATGATGTAACATCTCCTGCAGGCTGTGAAAGGTGCTTAAATAAATGGTTAGCTTGTTCCCATCTGTTCTGCCAAAATAAAAACCCTCATTTAAGTGTTTTATTTATATATTTATTCCAGTCTTTTCACTTTAAAAGTTTACTTAAACGTGTGCTGTTCTGGTCACTACTAACAACTTCTCTTTCAATGCAGGACCTCCTCCCACAATTCCCCTCTTTCCAGGGTAATCTCCCCCCCTGCCTTGATTTCCCCCATTTACCAGTTTCCCGCCTTGAAAATGAACACATGCTGAGAAAAAAAACAGCCATTCACAACCCTCAGTGCTACTGTAAAACCAAAGATGCATGCAAAGTATTCAACAAAGATCCATTTCTGTCTGGATGTCCTTAATTTCAAAAGAAGCTGTCACTTTAGTACACCAAGCATTTGATCAATGGACTTACAATAGAGGAAAATGTCACGTTACTATATTATTGATTGTTAAATCAGCTCTGAATCCATCAAAGTTCATGCTCAATCATCCAGGTACAAAATCCAGTAATGCTCAGTCAGGTCATCTGGACTCCAGTTTTCAGTATCATGGCTGGGCTGCAGGGAGAAGCTGCATCCGCCCTGAGACACTGTAGACTCCACAGGACCACAACCCAAAACAAACTTAGAGAACTTAAAAACACTCATTTATCCGTGCACATCCATTAGCATATGAAATGGCTGTCTTTTCTAAAAAAAAGTAAAACTTGTTTTAGAAAAAAAAAAAAAAAGATTTTTGAGGTGCACAAATAGAACATCAATGACCACAAACCGCATGGGTGTAGCAGAATCTTACCAAGAGAAAAAACAACTTGAACTGCGGTCTTACCTTAACAAAAAGCTCGATAACGGGTTCGTTATCCGCCTTTACCCCATTCTGTGGTACCGACAGCGACATTGTGGCTGCTACTTTAAGTTTTTGGACAAAAATGTTTTTTTCCTTGCTACCACGCCCGACTAAGCTTGGTTCTTTCCTCCACTATCTTTTTTTATATATATATTTAGCACTAAAACCTCGTGGATATCTTCTACCCCAGTCGTGGAAAGAGGAGGAGCGGCTGTTAGCAGACAAAGCGAACAAGGAGGCGGCACCGGCGTCCTGCAAATAATATGAACGCTATTTTACCAAAGCTAGCTAGGCTACTAAAACCATCGTTGAAGCGCGAGCGTCTCTGGTCCTCGTGCCTGATGACGCCGGGAAGAAGCTACGGGAATATTTAACAGCGTGATGTCAACGGGCGGCAACGCAAACATTCAGAAACGTGGGCGGGACCGAGGAGGGACTCTTCTGTCCTCTGGTTGAGGGTGGCGTCAAAGAGCCACACGGCGGCTCCAAAGCCATGTCGTTTTTTAAACAAAAAAAGCACGTCCCTAAAAAGTACTCTTTAACTCCTCCCTCGCCACCTCTAACCGGGTCATGCGCCGGCAGAACGGTAAGGAGTGTCTTTGCGTATCCGATGCTGTCCTAAACTTATTCTGTGCTTTGTTAGTTGATAAAACAATTTAACATCATTACTCTTGAACAAATAAGCATTGAAATGAAAACAAATAACACTGATCCTAAAAAAAAGGTTTAATTCTGAAAAGATGAGACAAGGGCAAAGGTTTCTAAATACAAATCATACACAAAAGCAGTCCAACAAAAATAGCTCAGTACAGAAATAAACAAATTGCATAACAATCAGTTTAGAAAAAAATTAAAACATGTTTCACTCTTAAACTGCTTTATTCTTTAAACAAGACAATTTCAAAGTTGGGGGAAAAAGCAGGTTAAATGATGTCCAACAGCTCCCGTAAGTCAGAATATGAAAACAGGACATTTTTGTTACAGCTTTTAGGTGTACATTGCTGTGACAGTTTCCACTAGTAAAGGCATTAGTACCAGGCGTGTTCCTTCATGGTGCTCATCTCTACGCTCTTTACAAGTTCAGTGGTTCATGCATATCAGAGACAATATGCATGCAATCATTCCTCTGAGGAATCTACTGTACACAAACAAATATACCATTAACCTGCCCAACTCAAACCACTGAAATTAAATATTTTCCCACGTAAGAATTTCAAAATATTAACACAAGCTTCTTTACAGTTTAGATAATAATCTGACAAATGAAGTTATGGAACTCTCCAGAATGTACCAAACCAGTAAAAAGAAACAAGACTGTAATTTGTATATTCTAAAGATGAACCGGGTTGATAACAAACATCAAACGTAATAGGAAAATTCATTAGCTTCTTGTTTTCATGACATCTGCGATGGAGACAGCTGGGCCTTCCTCATGGAGCGCAGGGCCTTCTCTCGAAGGTGCTTTTCCAGGTCATCCAAGCCGTCGTCCGCTTCACTTCCTGATCCCTTAACAAAAAGGACAAACATTTTAAAAACCTAAATGTAGTAATATTAATATTTTCAAAACAAATCATTAAAATACACAGATTTTTTAATGGTTAAAGGTGATTTTCGCTCTAAATCCAGTTGTCACCCACTATCAGTAAATGCCCTGAAAGCTCAAAACTCTTAGATTTACAGTATGAGCTGTTGTCCATCTGCTTAAATGAACCATTTGTGTGTAGCAGTCAAAATGGTAAGGTGCTGACCGCAACTACAATTTCCTGGCTGCTTCTGATTTTACCTTTCTTGAGCCGCCGTCATTCTCTGCATCCCGGTTCTCTTGAGTCTCTGTTACGCCGCTACTTTTTTCCTTTTTGTGCTTCTTGTGCTTTTTGTGTTTCTTCTCTTTCTTGTGTTTCTTTTCCTTCTTCTTCTTCTTTTTCTTTCCACCACCTTCAACATCTGAAATCTGCAAATGAACAGAATTTAGGTAAAAATGTTAAACCATTTATTCTACATGTCAGTATTAAATGGTGTGGACAATTAAACTTGTGTCAGAGGGACTATACCACAACAGAATTTGGAGAACTTTCTATAAACATACGTTTATACAAATCTCCTCTAACGCAGGTTAACAAAATCATTGGACATGTAAATATGTTGCTCATTTGTTCTTTAAAATAGTAACAACCTACCCGGCTATTGGCTAATGCAATCTTAAAATTTAATTTGATGAACTTTTATAATAGGAAAATTATTTATCGATTCCTCTTTTTTTTAAATCAAATAATAAATTGTGGTGCAAAGTGGACAGGAAGTACAAACCTTGGCTGGAGACTGACTGCCAGAACCACTGGCAACCACCACCTTTTTGGTTGGGGGTGGTGGAGGAGACCCACTGGCAGAACGAGAAGGAGACGGTGAAGCAGGGGCTGGACGTTTCTGAGCAGCTGGTTGGGGGGAAACTGATCTGGAGGAGGCTCTCCTTATACGCTTAGGACTTGGTGAAGCTCTGTTGAAAGATCAGAGTTGTAATAAAACATTCAAAGAGTAATGATTGAACTTAACCACTCGTACAAACAAAGGCCTGCGCCTTGTTTACCTTTTGATGCGTGGCTCTGGAGTGCGAGACACCCTCCGGATCAGCTTACTGCTGTGTGAAGGGGATTGTTGTCTTCTCTGGCTGGATGGAGACATACTCGAGGAAGCAAAGCGTCCCTGGGGACTAGTAGATCGCCTGACAGCATGGCTGCGGTTTGCAGGTGATGGGGAGTGGCGTCTGGCACCTGCAACAGGGGATCGTGTATCCCTGCTCGGCCTGGCAGAGGACATCATAGGGCTCCCCCTGTGTCTTGGTGGAGAAGTAGAAGGAGGAGGAGAGCGTCTTCTTGGTGGTGGAGAGTTTCTGCGTTTAGGAGACCTGGAAGAGCGTCGCTTGGCACCAGGAGAAAAGCGTTTTGGGGGTGAACTTGATAACTTCCTTTTCTGTGGAGGCAAAGGTGAGGGGCTGTAGCGGCGCTGGATGGGGGGAGAATAACGTCTGGGGGACAAAGATCTACGACGAGGTGGAGGGGAAGGAGACCTAAAAAAAAAAAAGAAAAATGTTTTTTAATAGATTTTTAAGAATTAGTAAAGTTTTTTTTAACCTTTCATAGCAAGAAAATAGAGCCAGATTATGACAATACCTGCGCCTAGGAGGAGAGGGAGATCTGCGACGTCGTGGGGGAGAGGGGGAGCGACGTCTACGCGCAGGAGATGGAGAACGTCTTCTCCTGAAGGAATATAAAAATATTTAATGAAGAACGTTTAAAAATAGAAAGTCATTCGGTATTGATAATTAGTTCAGTATCTGACCTTGGGGAGGCATCCCTGTGTCGCCTGCGAGGTGAGGGCGTACGGCTACGTTTCCTCCTGACTTCACCGTTCCTGGCACCCGGGCCTGTCGGTGGCCTCCTCGGCCCCTCATCTTCAGAGGAGGAAGATGCTGAATCTAAAACCATATTAAAAGGCAATTAACAACTGTGTAAGTGGCTTTTGTCTGTATAATAACATAAAAAATTAAAAACATCAAGGTTGGTGTGTTAGAACACTGCTTCAAAGGTTTGCAAGATAAAGACAGGACAAGACATAGGTAGAGAGGAAGGGGTAAACAAATAAACATAAAATGTCTATAACCTGAAGAAGACTGTTGATTCTGTCTGCGATATTGACGTCGCTGCTGCACTGAATCTGCTGCTGTCCCCTTTTCATTTTGTTCTTCCTCTGAAATGTAAACCATTAAGTTTTTGATCAGTGCAGGAAAGACCATCAGTGCCATGGAAGTATTACCAACAAAAAAACAGATACATTTAAAACAGTTAGAGTTCCCTGTTTTATTATAGTATAGTAAAATATGGAACAATATCAATTTTTGTTTCATTGTGTCTTTGATTGATTACGATTTAAAAAAATGAAATCATTATTGACCCAGTTTTATTAAACCTTGTGCTATTTGCTAATTAAAACTTTTATTGTTCAATTTTTCTGAAGCTAAAAAGAAACCTTTACAAAATACCTGGGACAATATCAGTAATTTTTGTATAAAAACAAATTTCACTTGGTACATTCTTAAGATTGTAGAGAATGTCTGCAACTCCCCCTTTTGCAGATGATAGTGTATATTTTTTTAACAGAAATAGATGTAATAAAAATAAAATAATTTAAAAAAAAACTACATGCCCAGTCATCACAGTTTTTAGAGCTAAATATGGTTATTTATGACAATGACAGTTTAACCCTTACCTGACTCAGACCCATCAGACTGTCTGGCCTTTGCATAATGAGGTAGAAAATCATCTCTTCCTCCTGCTTTTTGCTTTAAACCTAAAACCAAGGCAGTAAACATTTTATATGCATCTAATCATAGCCATGCTCATTTGACAGGTTAATAACAGAATGTTTAAATAATTTAGAATACAAAGGTCATTTACTTAAAAAAAAACTTTACCAAGTAACTTATGCAACATAAAGTTAGTTAATTAATCAACAAGTAAGCTGAAAGTAGCATGTACCTGACGATCTGGGTGGGGAAGGAGAGCCCCGGCCTCTTCTTGCTCGTGGAGACGGTGACCTTTTGTCCTTTGCTGCAGGGCTAATGGAAGTGTCAAGACGATGGAGTTGCATTCGAGGCGGTGTGGTAGATATTCTTTTCACAGGTTTCTTAGGTGAGCGTGAACCAGAGGAGCTGCTGCCAGAGGATGAAGCAGAACGAGAACGCCTCCTAAAATTTTATGATCAGAAATTAGCTACACAAACCTATCAGATACAACAAAGTTCATGCTCAATCATCCAGGTACCAAATCCAATAATGCTCAATCAGGTCATCTGGACAGTTTTTCTTTTCTTTTTTCTATACAACCATTTGTCATTTACAGTTAAGATAAATCTAAGCAAGGGATTAACAACAACAAAAAAATCATCAAGATTCTACCCTCCACCTAACTGACCTGCGGACAGGAGAACGTCTGTGTCGGTTTCTGGGACCTGTGGGGCCACGCCTAGGGGGACTCCTTCGACGTGGTGAGACTCTCCTTCTAGGACTTTGTCTTCTACGAGGGGAGAAGGATCTGATACAACAGAGAGGAAAGAACTAAGAAACCTGTTTCCCAATGCATGCTCAATAATCCAGGTAGAAAAATCTAAAAAAAAGTTAAATCTGGTCTTCTGGACATTCAAAAAAACAAACTTTTTTTTTTGTTTGTTTTGTTTTTTAGACTGTCCAGAAGATCAGATTTAACTTTTTTAGACAAGAAACCTGTTGAAATTCAGCATTTCTTTCTTTTTGGAAAAACAATTAAAACGACATTTTATATATCACCTTGACCGAGAGCGTCGTCTGCGGGGGCGAGAATGTGAACGAGAGCGGGAACGGTGATGAGGTTTCTCTCTCCTCGTGTCACGTTCACGAGATTTTGGCCTTTCTTCCTTCTTAACAACAGATTTTTCTGGGGATGCTTCTTTAACTTCAGATACAGAGACTGCTACTGCAGCCTCTGGAACTTCATCACTGGAAAATAAAAAAATTGTCTTTGAAAAAATAAAACTAATACTGTATATGTGAGGTAAAATCAAAGCATTCTTATCAAAACCAAAGATAAGACTGCACTAACCCAGTAGAAGAAGCTTCTTGAATAACTGGCTCTGCTGGGCTTTTTTCGGACGTATCTGGCTCCACGAGTTGATCTGAAACTTTTGTGGTAGACTGCACCACAAGTGGAGGAGGTGAGCTCTCAATAACTGGACTGGGTTTGCGTCTTGGAGATCGCGATGGGCTGCGTTTCCTTTCCCGCTTTACTGGTGATCTTCGCCGCGGTGATGGTGATCTCGTCTTCCACCTGACCAACGACAAAGTAAAAGCTTCAATATATTGACATGGAAGCAAAAACTCAACTGCGCTTTTCGCTAGGGATGCACAATATTATTGGCATGGTATCGGCCGATATTAGCGATAAACATCGGACATCGGCCATTCCATCAAAAATAACAACGATGTAAAAGGATTCTGTTTTAAGTTCATTTACTAATTTAAGAAACTGTCAAGTATATCTATTAATGCACTACTACTTATGCGCTTTTCACTCGTCACTTGTAAACAGGTTGAGTTTAGATTTGTGAAAATTTACAAATTTGCACTGTTCCAGTGTTGTCATTGTGTTAAGAGTAAATGTCATGAATAAATTTGACATTAAACATAATCCAAGTTGAAGTTTTACATGGTTTTCAGTCCCCTTTTTGGCATCTGCATTTGGTAACAAGCCAAATTGACAAAGACCGTGCAGAATAATGTAGTATTTTAATTCCACAGCTGAGAAAGATATGCAGTCTCTGTAAGTAGGTCTTGGGGGAAAAATATCGGTATTGGTATCGGTTATCATCCAAATAAGTTTTAACATTTCGGCCAAAAATCCAATATCGTGCATCCCTACTACCATCAAATCCTCTCCAAAATGAATGTGAAATTAAGAACAGTATTTTATTATTTTGAACAATTCATATCACAAATTATTTTAATAGGCTAATGCTGGAACAATAATTAAAAAATAAAATGAGTGATGTTATGAATACTACAAAAACAATCCAACCTTCTTGGACTCTTTGACTGAGCCCTCTCCCTGTAGTCCTTATCTTTCTTATCTTCATCCCCCTTTCTCTGTGAAGCAAGTTTCTCTTGCTCAGCCTGTCATGAAAGAAATAATAGTTGTATAACATTATAGACACAACATGCAATCAAATTAACTATTTCTGAAACGTTATCAGAATTGTCAGATATCTATTTAGTATTAGCCTAGAAATGCATACAAAATAAAATTATATAAATTCTTATCTAATAGACCTTGGATTACGAGTTAATTGGCATTTTCCAAATATGTTTATAGCGTATTCTAAAATTTTAGAAAAATGTAACATCTATGAGGCATTCTACTACACTTAGTGAGACATATTACCTGTCTCTGTCTGATTTCCTCTTTCTTTTGTTCCAGAAAAGCAGAGGGAATACCAGCTATATTTTCTTGGGCACTCAACAGCAGGGGCCACAGGTCTTTCATGAACTCACGAGCATTCTTCCCGTTCAGGAACCCTGTCAGGTTGATCTGCATCATCTTACTATCAGGGTGCTGCAACAAACACACGAAGGGGGAGAGGGAAAAATAGCCATTGAAATAATGGAAAACATCAATTGCAGAAAGGGTCCCACAAATGGGGGCTTCCTACCTTTTATCCATGTCTAAACTAAACCTGAGACACTTTAGTTATACATACCAAAATCATGTACAACTAACTAGAAGAGTTAACATATTTGGGTCTATTATTGGATTCAGCAACTTAAAAATATATTTTATTAATTCTTTACTGAACTCACACTGAGAGTGTGAGTTAACTGAGGGGAGACATATCTAGTAATGTAAATACAGCATGCAATAATACTGTTTAGGTCCCTAAACAAACAATGTCACAAAACAGCACTTTTGAGACTTTTTTTTTTTAATCTTCTTTTCTGTGCTACCCCATTACTTTTTATTTCTGTTTTTAACCCCCGCCCCCAACTTTCCAGTCTCCCCACTGTCTACACTTCAGAGGTTAAACAAATAACCACAATACAGAGTGCATTAAAACCCAACACTGCAAGTACAGTTCCGGTGTCTTCAGTGAGTCCCGTGGGATCAGTGGGTACGGAGCTCCATTGGCTTGCTTCCGCCTCCCTACTGCTTGAGACTCAACCACCTTGAGCTTAATGTTATATCATTTATCTAAATTGCAAGAGACGAACAAGCAATAATGAGTACACAGTTACACAACAACTTTTAATCTTTTATTTCAACAAGTGATAAAATTGAGATGTTCTTCAATCTCAATTTTATTTCAGCACCCTTTATTTCCAACATGTAAGCATTTTCTTTACAGTTAGCTTTAACACCCCCCTCCCACTAACAAATGCTAAAAACAAAATGTAGAATAAAACAAATGCTTTCAAATCATGCTAATGATACATATGCAAAACTAAAATAAAATTATAGGAATTGAAGCATGTTATAAGAATAAAGTCCTAAACAAGGCCAGTGGGAATAGATGCTAAAACTTGCATTCAGGTGGTCTTTTAGAATAAAAAAAAAATACATTTTCTAAATTGTTTGCAGAAAATCCACGTTTAATTGTTAAAAAAATAATGTACAGTATAAGTCAGCAAATGTTCAGAAACACCAAATGGTTATATGCAGCAGTGGATTATAGAATTTTACAAAAAAAACTTGAGGGCTTAAAGATTTTGTTTTTAATCATCTATAGAGTAAAATAATTGCATAAATTGGTGTTCAGTATATTTAAAATCATATGATCTCAATGTTAAAACTTAAACATTGTAATAAATGATAGAATAAACTATTGGGCTGAAAAGTATTTCTTTCTGTAAAAATCTTGTTTTTACTGACCTCCAGTGGCTAAAGTTTTCAATTAGCAATAATAATGCACTCCACTTGTTATCTGTGGACAATGATATTCTCTCAGATGTTTTCATCAATGTCTTTTTGTCTTTCCAATGTCAATGTCTTTCTAACTATGATGTTACGCAATAAAAAATGTTTACTAAAATAAAAATCCCTTGTTAAAAGATTTGTGAGTTTTGGGAGAATGTTTATGAGTAAAATGTTTAGGCTAACAACTTTTTTTTAGCCTCAAAAGAATGAACATAACTGATAAATCAGTCCAGAAAATAATCCTAGTTACTTTTTCTTCCATGGACAACAGATGATCTATAAAGACTTAACTGTTTCTTTCCCTTGGTTGATGTGGTTTCCAACTGCTTTTTTAATTAAGGCACACCTATTTTTTGCCATTTTTACCAACCCTGCACACTCTTGATAGTTTCTGATAAAGCTTCGACAAAGCTGGTGTTTTGTTCATATTTATTTTGACAACTAGATGGAAACAGCCAATATAAAGTGTGATCAGAAGTGCATTTGGTATCAGGGGTCAGTGAGACAATATTTTTCAGAAAGACTGTTGGACAACAATAGGTTATGATTGAAAGTAAGCTTCAACTTAAAAAAATACCTTCCCTGGCTGAACCCTGTCATTTTAGGGGGATCTTAGCAGTCTAATTATGAACTAAAAATAGCTACAGAAAATATGATTATGGCACTGTTCAGTTGTGTCTTTCACTGATATGATATAGATGATCCCTGTATACAACTCACCTCAAAACACACACTTCATCATGAAGGGAGAGCTGGGCTCAGAGACTTTGGGCTCAGGAGAGAGCTAATTAGATGTTGGTGCTATACTTCTGATGCAAGGTATAACATCCATATTGGTTCAGGCCTTTTAAATCATAAATCACATCATCATTAGAAGACTGCTGAATAAAAAGGCACTTTGTCACATAACAACAAAACATGTCAAATTCATCAAAAATCAAGTTTCAAACCTTTTTTATATTTACTTTACCCTTTCAATTTTAGTTTGACTAGGATCTGCAATTATTTGTTCACATCCCTTCTTAAAGGCTACTTACAGAGGAAAAATAGTGAAAGAGAGAAAGACATTACCTTTTCTTCAAGTTGGTTGAATATGAACTCTATGACCACGTCATCTTCAAAGCCCAGAATCTCTGTCACCCGTTGGGTAATCCATGGTTTGATGACTTCTAGGTTCACTTTGGTCATGTCCACCTGAGAATGAAACAATGAGGAAAGACAAAGATTTGAGAAAGGGGACAATACATACAATATTCTATTCAATGTATTTATTTTTAAATTGCCAGTACATAAAAGGATTTTTTCCCCTCTTTCGGCTGCTCCCTTCTTCAAGGGTAGCCACAGCAAACCAACTCGCACTAACATTTGGCAACTGTTTTTACACCGGATGTCCTTCCTGATGCAACGACAGACTACAGAGCTCCCACAGCCCTCTGTGTGGAGCAGAGAGCTGCTATCTAAAGGTGCCCGGGGGAGCAGATGCTGGGGGTTAAAGGTCTTGCTCAGGGGCCCAGAGTGGGGCAAATGAGGGTGGAGGCAGGTGTGGGTGCTTCACCTTTCCCGCTCCCATTTTGATGTTGTCGGTCCAGGCAGGGAGTCAAACAGGATCACAGGTCCACCTTCTCTAACCTCTGCACCACCACTCCCCCACATAAAAGGATTACATAATAATAATAATAATAATAATAATAAAAAATTAGGGGTGCACTGATAAATCGGCCCTGATTTCCCTAATTTTGGGAAATCGGACGATACTTGCATGAGAAAACGATTTTTTAAGTTTTAACAACAATTGTCTGAACTTCATTTACATTTCAGAGCACTACCTCATAGCCAGTTAAAATAAGTTTGTATTGTTTATAGGATATTGTTCAAGAATATGTTTTTCAATAAAATTATAATTGAAGGTGCATTGTGAACTTATAACACCTGACAATGTCGCTTATAAAACAAAATCGGTATCAGCCAAAATTGGAATTGGCAGGTCAGACTTTTTAGAAATCGGTGATAGGTGATCGGCTAGAAAACTGTAATCGGTGCACCCCTAATAATAATAATAATCTGCTTTAGCCATGACCTAATTTATTGCTTCAAAATATGATATTGATCTAAATCATCATAAAATGCAAGTGCAATAAGGCTTATCTTCTTAAAAATATTAAATACATATACAGTAACTATAAAAATTATTACAAATAAGAGCAGGAGACAAAGACTACACAGAAGAGGAAAAGTATCACCAGTAACATGAAAAAAAAAAAAAAAAAACAGGCATTCACACATGTACAGACTGTAAGACATCTTACAATAAAGATCTGAAAGAAATTATTATATCGTCTCCGTCAGGAGTTCATACCTTCTTGTCCAGACATTCTGCAAATTTCAGCTGCTTCAGGAGTTTCTTCTGCTTGTTGCTGAACCGGTTGTCTTGCTCCGCACTCGTACCCTAAAATTTAACATTGAAGTGTTGGATTCAAATCGGAGCACATTGACACATTGAACAAGCTAACCAGTAGCTACCCTGAAAATGACGATGCTAGGCTAATCTTAGCCAAGCACTTGAAGCTATAATAGCGCTGATATAAAGTAGTCATTATTCAATAGCTCTAAACATTATTTTTACATTGAATGACGGTAACGTTTACAGTGGTCGTGACTAGCTCGTTTAAAGAACACCACCGGGCGCCATCTTGTGCCAAGGCCAACAACTTAGCTACAGCGGATCGTCTATTTCCTGCGAGTCTCTGCAAAAAAAAACCCGAAAAGATTAAGCTAGGTTGACAATATCATGAAAAATAGGATCACAAATGATAGGCATCCTTCCATAAAACCCAACAAAAACGCGTTCGAACAGATGAGTTTAAAAAAAGGAATGACAATAAAATTAAAGGCTATTGAGCATCAGTTGATAGACGGAGCCATGACCGCACCGCGTCGGACTGTATCATGTGGCCCTCTAGCTAGAGCATACGTGTGTCATAAACTAATAACATTTCCACCTGAAACCACATTAAAAGGTGGCACAAATATGTGATATTTGCTTAAAATTCTTACGCGGAAGAATCCCGCGTCCATTCTCGGTGGAAATTGATTGTTTCAAGCGCAGTGGAGAAAGAACTGGATCCGCCCGGAGAAGCTCAAGTGGTGGCTAACCGCCGGATGAAGGGTGCGCCCCCACAGGACGTAAGGGGTACTGCACCCACTGCAACAACCTGAGCATCTACTAGTGTTCTCTAATATTTAATGTTTAACAACGTGTGCTTTTATTATTTCAGTGCAAGAAATAAAAAAATAAAAAACACATTTACACTCATTTGCCTTTTATTCAGTTTATGTATATATTAGCTCACCTTAGCATGTACACTGCATTGTTAAACATAGTTTTCAAATGTGGATAAAGTTTATTTTATTCCTACTCATTTTAACTAAAGTCACAGAGGGTAAATAAAGTTTTTTTGTTAGATGCCATGTTGAGCAAAGAGCAACATAAAGTCTGAGTGATATTTTACTTAATAGACTGCTATTTTTAAGACAGGCAGAATACAGAGTATTTACAATCCACGTGACTTCGGTAGTCAATATTGTTGCTCTAAAGATGCAGCTGGTCCATAATGTGTTATACATTGTTACAGTGTTCAGAATAAAATGACATGAAATCTCCCAGAATGAAAAAAAAAAAAAAATTCTTCATCATTTAATGTGTAAAATGATGCTAATAACAAACAACTAAAATAGAGATTTAACAGTACATGATTCCCTGAAAAAAGACTGAAATATCTAAGACTGTGTAGATAACATCTCACTTTACACTGTCTGTTTAATATTTCAGACTGAAAACTTTTAAACTTTTTTTTTATTATTATTACAATCTCTTCCTGGACCATTAGCATAATCAGCCAGAAAAGGATGATTAACTTATGTGAAATTTGAGGAAATCTTCTGTAAATACAGGCTGAGGAAGGTTTTGGTCAGATAGTTTTGCTAGCTGACTGGAAGTCCCTCATTGTTCCGCTTGTCTCGAACAGAGCTCAGCATATCTGACACTAACTCCTCGAGCCCGAAGGCTGGTTTCCAGTCCCAGTCCCTCCTGGCGTTGGAGTCATCAATTCTCACAGGCCAGCTGTCTGCTGCAAAGTGACAAGCAAAACTGTAATCAGCAAAACTGACATTGTCAGGTATGACTGGCGCTTGCAATAACATACCGATTGTCTGGCGCACAGCGTCTGGACTGTAGGTGACCTTAAGGTGAGGGAGATGCTTGCGGATTTCTTCTGCCAACTCCTCTGGGGTGAAGCTCATGGCAGCTATGTTATAAGTGCGCAATGACAGCTGGTACTCTGGCGTCTGCATGAACTCCACAGTGGCACGGTGGCAATCAGAAATGTGCATCATGGGAAGTCGGGTGTCTGGTCGCAAGTAGCACACGTGGTGACCTGTGCTGAGAGCATCGTGGAAGATTTGAACTGCATAATCTGTGAAGAAAGGGGATCACAAATACGTGAAAAGATGATTGCAAGATATTTACAAATTAAAGGATTCTTTGAAGGAATGTTGTCTTTCATGCCAGAGTTTTAAACCATCTTATGTTGAGGAAGAACAGTTTATTCTAACCCTGAAAATAATGATGCATTCTCATACATATGCTGCGTCATCAAACTTCAATTCAGTATCTATAAAACTGACTTAGCTATAGGCATTTTAATATTGGCTGATGTCAATTAGTAGTCGCAGTTAGCTTAAACTGAACTGACACTAAAAGTTAATCAGTTCTATATGTACATGCAATGATTACTTCCGAAAGTGTCATCAAAATCCATTTATTGTTAAAGCTTTAAGCAAAGATCTCTTGCAATGAGTAAGTAGCACTTAAAATATCATATGTGTTATGAATCACTTGCAGCTACAAAAACATCAAATCTTTGCCCAGTATCTGTAAAATTGACTGAACTTTAGCTATGTTTGTGTTTTCTATGTTCAGTTGGTTGTGGCAACCATCTTGAAGTAGGTTGGCTCCATAGGTTAATCAGTTGTTTAGGTAAATACAATAATTATTTCATGAATTTTTCATTAAAATCCATCCAGTTGTTCATGAACTATTTAGCTAACAGACAGAAAAAAAAATGACCCCAGATAGTTAATGGAAAAACTTTTAACATAGACCCTGTGCTTAGGATAGGTGTTGAAGACATGATAATCTAATACCACACAAAATGTTAGGTCAATGTCTATACAACTGACAGAGCTTTAGTAATTTTTGTGGTTTTGAAATTCAGTTGGCTGTGGCAGCCATCTTAAATCAGACTGAAACCAAAAGTTAACCAACTGTGCATGTACATCCAGTGATCACTTTCTTTAAGTTTAATTAATTTCTGTTCAATGGATCATGAGATATTTTGCTAACAAACATGCACACTGACATTGGTAAAAAAAATAATATTGTTAGCCTTTTGCCTTTTGGCAGCAGATGATAAATATACATTATTAGGTGAAAAATACCTGTCGTTCCTCCTCCAGGAGGCGTGTTGACTGAAATCACTCCAGGGTACCGCAGGCAGCGGAAGTCCAACCTGTATTTATGATGAAGATACTGAAAGAAAAACAAAGCCTTTAACGGAGATCCATTAATGGTCTTTAGTCTGCCTTCATCCCTTTAACATCTTACCTCCCCCATCAGTTCACCATGCACTTTAGAGACACCATAGATGGTTCTTGGGCGCTGCACGCAAAGGTCAGGGGCCGGATCACGTGGAGAAGTGGGACCAAATGCTCCAATGGTGCTGGGAACAAAAAGGCGGAGGCAGTTCTCTAGAGCCAAGTCCAGAACATTGTGCAGACCTGGATGAGGGACAAAACATCCAACAGGCTTAGCTTCCATCCAGCAGAAAACATCAGCGTAGATAAATCGCATATTGAAGCACACCTGTGATGTTAATCTTTCGAGCCAACACCATGTTAGCCTCACCCACAGCACTGAGCAAAGCGCTGTAGTGAACCAGCCACGTTATACGATTATTAATGATCAGTTCTCTGAGGTGTTTGTAGTCCAGAACATCAGCATACACAAATGGACCTAAAAGGGAAATAAGGAGATATCATGTGCGATATTAATAGCAAAGTTTACACATTCAAGTGGAGAATTAAAAAATATATATTTTGCCTACCACTGGTGTAAACATGAGACGGAGGCTTCTTGATGTCTGACAGGATCACATTCTCTGTCCCATACTGTTTCCTGGTTATTAGCATATATGACAGAATTCAAATTTCAAATAAGTTGCCCAACTTTATTCATGTAAAACTCACCTTAACATCTGTGCGAGTCCCATACCTAACTGTCCCAGACCACCTGCACACAAATATCCATTTTATTTGAAATTTTTTTTAGGTAGGTTTTAGATTAATAATCATTACAAACAGTACAATAAACAACCAATATAGATTTTTGTTCGTCCCAAGGCTTTATTCCGGAACAAAAATGTCCCCCATTCTCCCCCCTTTTATGTGACTAACACTGTCTGTACACACACCATTGTGGTGATTCTAAATGGGGTGCGATGGTAAGTGCACTATGCAAACAATGTGAAAAAAGCAGCACATGCGGTATGCGAATGCAGAAGCAATAGCCCTACACCACAATCTGCAACACCTGGAAAGCAGCAGAACATATGCCAGAATGCTCTTCCTGGTCTGCAGTTCGGCTTTCAGTAGCATCCTCCTGGGGAACTGATAGAGAAGCTGACAGACCTCGGTGTCCTGATTCCAACCTGTAACTGGATCCTGGACTTCCTGACAGATAGACCACAGGGGGTGAGAATGGGAGGATGGATGTCTGCTGAAATCAGTCAGCACAGAATCCCTGCAGGGCCATCACTTCAGCCCTAAACTCTTTACCCTGTACACTTATGACCGTGTCTCCACCCAGCACAACACCAATGTTATTCAATATGCTGATGACACCACTATATTGGGGCTCATCCAGGAGGAGAACGAGTCAGGGTACAGGACTCTGGTAGAAAACGTAATTGCATATGGAGAAAAAAAAAGACCTCATCCTCAATACAGACAAGACCAAAGAAATCATGATGGACTTCAGGAACCCCCCTCCATTACAGCCTCCCATCATTAAATCAGAATCAGCTTTATTGTCATTGCACAGAAGCACAATGAAATTACATTTCAGTGCAGCCCGTCCAAGAAACACAAACAACCAAACAACATACATGGGAAAACGCGGGTGCCTGAGGCTGCAGCCTCATGAGAGGCGCTGCCTTTTTTTGTTAGATAATGAAAAGAAAACACGAGAGAAAAGAGAGGATAAAAATAATAATCATATCTCACACTGTATCCCTAACAGGATGCAGTGTGAGGTTGCAAAAAACTTCAGCACAAAAAAAAGCAACATATAGATGACATAATAAGATGCATGGTGGTGGGGGGGGGGGGGCGGAGGGGGGGATGCAGGTGCAGCGAAGGCAATGTGTTGAGTGGAGTGTGTGCAAATGAGTGTATGAGTGTGAGCAGAAGCAGGGGAAGGAGCGGAAGGAAAAAGTGTCCGCCTTCGTCAAGAGCAAGAAGAAAAAAAAAGGGACTGGGGTACGGATCTATGGAGCTACAGCTCTATCTAAGAATATATGTCTGACAGCCATAGATTCTTGGGATTGCAGGTTTCATCGGACCTGAACTGGTCTCTCAACACCACAGCCACAGTGAAAAAAGCCCAGCAAAGGCTTTACTTCATTAGGCTGCTCAGGAAAGTGGGTCTGAACCTCTCACCCAGCCCTATAGAGGACTGACAGAGAGTATCCTAACCACAGGGAAAACCATCTGGTATGGGAACACCACACAAGCAGAAAGGAAGGCACTGCAAAGAGTCCTAAAGACTGCGGAGAGGATCACAGGGACAAAACTTCTTTCCATGGACTTGATGTTTGTACAGCGCTGTCAAAAAAGAGCAGCTGGAATCCTCAAGGACTTACTCCATCCAGCTCACTCTCTTATCAGACAAAAAATATTCATATAACCTGAGACACAGTAGAGCAGATAGCATTATCATCCATAGTACAAGGTTGTTGTTGTTTTTTACAGTTTTCCCCTGCCACAGTCAGACTGCAGGGAAAACAAAACTACTGAATCAGATGCAATTACCCTACACTACCTACATTCGCTTGTCATGTGACATGGGAAGGTGTAGATATTACCTGATTTCTGTACAGTGTAGATATAAACCACTTTATTCTTATTTTTATTTTATTTATTTAGTGCTGTTTCAGTGTTTTTGACTAGGACTGAGAGAACTCTGCACAAGAATTCCAATGTGCCTGGACTATTGTTCTGTGCACAAATGACAAATAAATAACTTTGGACTTTTGTTGTACATGTTTGTAGTTTAAATTTTTTTGCTCATGCCTACAACTACACAACAGCTTGAGCTCTACACCTTAACACTCCTAAATAACTTCCTATAACTTTCCATGGAAGTGCTCATTAGCAAGACACTCTGTCTTTACTGTAACTGCTCAAAACTAACAAAACATTACAGTTAAAAAAGGGGTAAAAAAAAAAAACATTTGCAACCTCAGATGATTGAGAAACTGCAGACAAATCCATCAGACAGCTACCGAAGGTCGGAAATTAGTTTCACCTGTGATGAGAACGCGGGGGTTTTCCTCAGGACTTTGTGTGCTGAGGTTCTCCTGACTGTTCCACCGGCTCATATGCCTGGTTGACCAACTGAAGCTGCGAATGGGCCGGTTCTGTGCACCGCTGGCACAACCACGACCGAACAGGCCCAGCAGCACCGCAGTGGGTGCACACACCTGAACACACGACTGCATGCCCTGTAGAAGTCTACAGGAAAATTCACCATATCAAAACGGTTACAGTTACATCTGGATAATGATCGCTCTAATACAAATTTTATTTGTGAATAAGAAAAAATATATATACATTACCTGGCAAATTCAGAAACCCCAATTTGTTTGTTTTTTACCCAAAGCCAACTGATGCAACACAGTAAATCCACAGGTATTCCTCAAAAGTAAACTTAAACAAGAGCTTGCAAAACAACATTTAATTGTCAGAATTCAAATATTACCAGTATATTAGTTGCTACCTGAATTCACCCAGTAACCACCGGATAAATACGCAGGTGCAGGGAGTCATGCTGGACTACTGGATGTACTTCTTGTTCTCTTGGCTCGTGGCTCTTAACTGAACAGGACTACAGTCTGCAATGCTCGGTGTGTGCAAACATGCTGACTTGCTGTGCACAGGGATTTTTATTGTCAGGATTGTTTAGCTGAGCTTAACAGGACGGGGAGCTGTGCCAGTAACACAGGCTTATTCTCTTGAGTATATTTGTGAATATATCAAAGTAATATACCTTGTTGTAGTCTTACAAAGCATGGAGAAGAAATAACACTCCTTTTGGCTAATACAACTTAAGAAACATGATAAAATACTGTCTAGTTAGTACAGGAAATACACATTTAGGAAATATTTTTACAGGTTTTTGTCAAGACCGCCAAATATTTCTTAGAAATGACACCAAAACTCGTTTTTGTATGGTAAATATTTTTAAAAATGTAAAAAACAATACTGTACATTAGGAAGCAACATGCAACATGCCAACAATATGTCTTTAAATGTTCGACTTTCACTGAATCGTCGCAGCGTCACCTTGAGTCACCCTAACCCATTCAATCACCATGTTCCTTATTTCTCCCTGAACTTCCTCCAGGTGACGAGCCTGCTGGGTCCATTTCAGAAAAAACCCTAAAATCAAAGCAGAAACATGGAGTGTTTAATCACTGCTCATACTGACCAAAGCTATAAATGAACAGGTTTGAATTCATGTTAGAATCAAAGGCATGTGATGGAAATGTGTCTCCCTTACTAACACGCCAAAGTTTAGCTCACTATCCGTAAAAGTGGCTAAGTTATAGCCAATCTTATGTTTATTAACTTTACTTAGCTGTTGCAGCTAATCCACAATATATTCTGTTATAGTATATACTTTGTACACATCCAATGATTGTTTTGTGTATGGGGTGCCATTTGTAGTACACAGTCAAAAATTAACAGCAACATTTTTTTTATTTAGCCTTTCATATAAGAAAAAGAGGATAGTTTTTTTTTTTCAAAGTCAGATTTTCACCATGTTATTCATACGTTTATAAAAGGCATAGTTCCAAAATAAATATTTAATTTACAAGCTAAATATTTAGTTTACAAACTAAATATTAAACTAAATATTAAACTAAATATTTTGTGTGGTGCTAAATATTTAGCTTGCAGACTAAATATCTAACTTGCAAGTTAAGTATGGAGTTCGGAATCTAAATATTTAGCGTATAAATTAAATATTTAGTTTGGAACTAGGAAATTTATAAATGTATGAATAACATGGTGCAAATATGACAATGAAATTATTATTATTTTTCTTATTAAAGATTAAATAAACCAAAATATTGCTGTTAATTTGTGATTATGTAACTTTACAATGGCACCTTATGTTTGTGAGGGTTTCATTAAAATCAGTCCACTGTTTTCTGCTAATGTTATGGACAAATTCAGACATCAGCAAAAAACGTTATTGCCTCTCACCTCTCCAGAGCTGCAGGGACTGTGGATGGACTGAGGGCCAAATGGCTAGCTCATTGGGCTCATACAAAGGGTTTAAATAGTTCTCTCTTTCGGTGGGTCTGAGCAGGTTTTGGAACAAACAGTGAGTGGCATCCTTAACTCCCAGAGCACACCTGGAAGAGAGAGTCGGTTACACAAATACAGCTGTTAATGTCTTGGCCGAGTCGAATCTGTGACTATGAGCTGACCTTTCCTGGTCACTGTTACACAGAAAGGTGCCGTAGTCAGAAGCATAAGCTTCGGTGGCTAGTTGAAGGAGCAGCCCCTCAGAGAAACCCAGCGCCAGGGGGAACTGACGCCACAGCTGCCATATACAGTCCAGCAGGAGCAGGAAGACCGGTGACTCCTGCTGGAGACGAGCGTGGGAGTAGGCCGAGTGCGCACATCGCTGCTGGAACGGGTGTCCTGCCTGCGAAAGAGTCCACTCATTGAAAAAGCAATAACACAAACAAACAAATTCAACAATGTTCTGTCAGGTCATCTGGATGGTTTCATTTCTTTTTTGCTGAGATGTTTCGTCCTTCATCCAAAGGACTTCTTCTGTCCGAGGAGCCACAAATAAACTGGAGTCCCACAAGTACTACAAAAACCATCTTATCACCAGCAAAATGTATTTTTCCACTATGAAAGTGTGGTACTAGTTTGTTTGTGGCTCCTCGGACTGAAGAAGTCCTTGGGATGAAGGACGAAACGTCTCAGCAAAAAAAAAATGAAACCACCCAGATGACATGAATGAACATTGTTGGATTTGTACCTGGATTATTGAGCATGAACTTTGGTCTAAACATACTTCTGCTACTTCTCAAATTCTACAAATCCGATTTAGTTTTAGTCGTGTCATTAAGTATTTTGGGTAGCTAGAAATAAAGTTAATATACTTTAACTCATTAAGAGCTAACCTGATAGATCCTACATAGTCTATAAAATCCATGTAATTAAAGAGCTATCATAGAAAGTGGATATTAATGACATTGTTACATGGTAGAACAAAAAAAAAGGACCAAACATTTATGAACAGGGATTTATTTTATTGTAAATTAGGTCTATATTTCCAGCGATAAAATGTAAACTCTTAACTATGCAGCCTATTTAATTCCAGTCTATATTAGTATTAAGTTAATCCCACTTTGAAATAATAAATCACATACTTCTAACTTAATAAATGATAGCATGAATGTAAAACTAGTGTTCCGTTTGATGTGCATTTAGTGTAAATTATAGTGTGTATCTTAGCTGTTTAATATACCATATTATTTTACACTATTAGTGTTTAGCGTATATCTTAGATCCTTATATTTGTTTCTTTATACTTTATATATTTGCTATTTTTGGGTGTAACTGGGACCTTGAGTACATAATTTCATTCCATCTCATGTGCCACATGTGATGCAATTGACAATAAAGATACTTGAACTTGAAAACCTAGGCCAATTTGTTGGCTATGTTTTGTGATTTATTCAGTTTATTTAAATAAAGCAGAAACCTTCATTTATTAAAACCTTTGTTGGATTTTTATCTAAAGTAATCTTTTATGTCCGGTAACTTAACACATTAGAAGGGAAGTGTCATTCTTTAGGATGCCTTATTTCAATTCTATATGAATCAGTTCTTAGCATTAACTACTAAATCAGTTATTCTTGTACTTTTAATGTCATTTTGTCACCATAGTTTTATTTATATCTACATGAAATTGGAGAGACAATTTGCTAAAATATATTTGGTGAAAGCAACAGAGGGCCCCTATAAGTGTATACTTACTGTATGTGGCCCTGGAGCCATAGGTTGCAGACCCCTAATCTAAAAAGTCCTGTTGTTTTATTAATACAAGTTTCTCTGTCAAGTTACCTAAAACAAAAATATTTTGTACTTTATTAGAATGGTCAATACAGCCGGACTAGCTCCCATCTGAGATAAAGACCTGTACATTTTATTACATTTGAGGCCAAGCAGGAGTCTGACTGTGATAATAACATTTGTCAAGACATTTCCTGTGGAGCAATATCCTTTAAGCAAGAAATATGCACGAATGAGAGTTTTATCAGTAAATCTGCACAGCTCTGCAGCAATATTGGCAATAGTTATACATTATTTCAAAAAAGGATATAAAACATTTAAATACACAAAAGCCTCTTGGGCTTTGTTGTTTAATCCTACATTTTTTTTGAAGATTTAATCAGATAGTTTAAAATTTCAATTTTTATAAGACGTGTATGAGATTCTTTGCAAAGTAGATATTGCATCGGGGTGGCATGGTGGTGCAGTGGTTAGAGCTGCCGCCTCAAAGCAAGAAGGTCATGATCTCCTCCTAGCCTGGAGGAGATGTGGAGTTTGCATGTTCTCCCCCCAGTTTCCTCAGTGACCATTAGTAACGCTAAAATGTCCCTAGGTGTGGGTGAAGGTGTGAATCGTTGTTTGTCTCGTTTGTCTCTATGTGTCCCTGATGGTGGACTGGAGACCTGTCCATGTCCCCCACCTCTCGCACAAAAGAATGCTGGAGATTAGCACTAACACCCCAGAAAGTGGATAATGTACGCATGGATGAAATTCCACTTGCTCAAAATGTTTTCACCATTTGTATTTGTTCCAAAACCCTCACTTGTATCCACTCCCGCTCCAGCAGAGCCAGGAAGCCCTCCAGCGTGCGGCAGCTGGGGTCCATGATGAGCTGAGCCAGAGTGCTGATGAGCAAGGAACAGTCTGTCCCTTCGTAGCCATGAACCAAAGCTGAATGGCCGTCCCTTAAAAAAAACAAAAAAAAAAACCTAAGTTATAAATTGTATATTAGTACAATTTAAATGTGATCTGACTACACAACGTGTGATTTGTTTTCTTTACCTCTCTACACACTCTGCCAGCAGACCAGCAGTTGACAGAGCAGTCTGGACATGAGACAGCCATTTTGAATTCTCCAGCTTACTGAGCCAGCGGTCCATGTTGTGAGACTCGTCCCCGCAGGCCTCCACCAGTTTAATCAGACTCTCCTGCAGTGCTTTACCTCTGCATCAAGACAAGATAGCGTGATATGTTAGCTCAGAGGGCTGGATAATGGTATTCAGCATCCACTTCCAGTATGCATTTTTTAAATCAGCACACCTTTCCATTTGCTTGTGCAGTCTTTTCCAGTGGTCGTAGCTTGACTTGGACTCGAATCCTCCCCCTGTCATGCGAGCCCGTTGAACCTGCTGACTGGAGCGGGTGTCAATAACATAACCTTTGTCCGATCCATCGATCACAGCCTGCAGGAGGAGCTCGTCTTCTTTGCAGCGCTTCTTGTTGGCGCCTACCAGCGGCTGACTGCTGCGCATGATCACCTGAAACGATCCAGCACCATTAAAGCTGATCGGCTGCACCTTCGTGCCAGCAGTGGGAGTTACAAACACCTCACCATGCCGTTTTTTTGGTGGTAGTAGCACAGGACAGGGAAGCGGCCACCCTGTCTGAATTTGGCCGCCTTCTTCAGTGTTTCATCGTCGATGCTTGTTGGAACGATAACGGCAGGAGGGTAGGAAGGACACACGGAGTAGTCCACGTTCACGCTGCTCAACCGCCACTTCTTGTGCTGCAAACACAGAGGGAAGGTGACACGGAGGGCTTAGCTTTAACAGAACCTGCCATCCTACTGTATATGCAAGATCTTGTTCTATATTTTCCAAAAAGAGCACGTCACTCTCATACCACAGGTTTACTTGTGGTTCCTAGAGTTTTTAGAAGTAAAATGGGAGGTAGCACTTTCAGTTATCAGCCTCTTCTCTTGTTGGACCAACTTTCAGTTTCTATCCATGACTTCTTTTCTACATTTCAGGTTGCTGGTGAAGATTCTCAGTCATCCAGGACACGATGAATTCAAAAAGCGTTCAATACAAAAGGTGTTGAGGTGTGACTTGTCAAATCTACATATGTGTGTGTGTCTTATCTCACTCAGCCTTATAACCTGAATCTCTCACTCTCTGCTCATTGAATTGAGAAAGCTCCTCACATGAGGAGCGAAACGTCTTCTGCTACTAATAAAGTCCAGTTGTTTTTGCATTGAACTTTTTGAATACATTTCAGGTTGCTTGTATTTTCCTTTTTTGCTTAGTCCTATATATAGGGTTGGCTTAGGTTTCCTGTGCTATGGTATTTCTGTGCTAGTACTTACTGACTAATTTGGCCTTGTAAGTTGGCTAGATGCGTTGTAGCAGCAATTTACAATATGACAAATGTGTGATATTTGAATATTAATATTAAGATAGGTACGTAAATCTATTCTACTATATTCCCAAAATGCAATTCGGCAAGATGAAAATTTCGTAAATAACTATTACAGGGGCTTTTGAACTATGTGTTAGAGTTTCGTAGGGAACCTCTAAATGTCATGGTTCATAATTTGCAGAAGCAGAAGCTTCATAAAGCCTCATTAAAGGAACATAAATATACAAGACAGAAATGTGTAGATGTGCAAATATTTGCCGGTTTCTCCTTGGTGAAGCCCGAACATTAGGCCACCCTCATACCATAGACAGTCACCCCACCTATTTTATGATTATTGTGCCTATAAAGCACACGCAACAATGTCGACTTCAGGGTTCAGCCCCTCACCATAGCAACATATTCCCAGGAAACATTCATGTGTAAAGCATGAATTCGAGCTTTGTGTAGCACATTCTGATGTTAAGGAAAAACAAATGAAAGCTAAGCAACAGGGATATCCTGACTACTGACCCCTGCATTCAGTCGCCCTGGCATTTTCCTGTCAAATGGCTTGGTTTGTTGTCACAAAAGGTTGCCGCTGAGACTTTTGTGTTTTTAGATTTTACTGAACTGATTCCGTCCGTGCGTGGCAGAAACAAACACGCAAAGTTTTACATGCTGCTTACAAGCGCCTTCATTTGGCTGTAATGTTTTGCAGGCGTTGAGAGGCCCCAGTGCTCCTGCAGCCGGAGGTCTGCAGGCCGGTAAAAGAAGGGATACATCTCCGACACGTTGTCCAGACAAGACAGGGTCTACAGACAGTCAGAAGAAAAAAAATATGTTAGCTGGCAATTATTGTACTTCAAATATATATATATATATATATATATATATATATATATATA